GCTGGAAGCTAATTTGGAGACTATGGCTGGGGTCTGAATATAAATTTCGCTTCCTAATACATCCCCCCCGAACTGGAAAGACATACCTAGTCACTTATAAACAATAGGTGTCTCTTGGCAAAGGAAGAGCTTCTCCCCAGATTATTTACCACATGTTGCTGGTGGGCTGTTTATAAAAGGCAAAGACATAAATGGGATAAGTTACCCTTGCCTGGCACTGCTTTTTCATTGTATAAGGAAAGAAGGATGGATGCTACCATAGTAATACTTTCAAAGGGAAAGACGTTTCTATTTTATAAGCAGTTCAAAATAATAGGACAGGATGACAGTGGCCCTACAAAGAGTTCTTCCTGCCTTGTGTCCTCACTCACTGCTCTTTGCTCCTAGGGTTGTACCTTCCAGGATGCACTGTACCACCCCAGCACCCCATCCTGACTACCCAGCTGTCACCCTGTGAGGCCTCCATCTGGTTGTGAAAGGTTGTAGAGGTGAAGCAACGAGGGACCCACTCTTAGGTCCTGTAAAAAGGGACCACTGACCTGAAATTTTGGTTGATAGAGCTTCTATGTCTGAAAAAGAAGACAATCAGTGGAGAATGCGTGACACATTCACGTTGTCTTCTCCCAGACAGTCTCTGTTCAAGCAAATCCTGGCTCTGCCATGAACTCCAGCTTCGTAGTCTTTTTGGATCTAGATTTATCTGCCTTACAATCAGCAACATTAAATTGTGTATTAAGCTTTGGCATTTTTGTGAGATATTTTTCCTTTTTAAAAGATCTTATTTATTTATTCATGAGAGACTCAGAGGCAGAGACACAGGCAGAGGGAAAAGCAGGCTCCCTTTGGGGAGCCTGATGTGGGACTCAATCCCAGGACCCTGAGATCATGACCTGAGCCAAAGGCAGATGTTCCCAGTGACCCACCTGGGCATCCCAATTTTTGTGAGTTTTAAAAATCTTTTCCTGTACCTTCAAAAGCTTCAGTTAGACGCTGGCCTAAGGCAGAGGTTCTCCCTTGTCATGGTACTGTCCCTTTCCAAGGTTTCCATAACTATCTTTTCCTGGTTCTCTTCCAACCTCTGGCCGCTCCTTTTTGGTGTTCTCTGTATATCTGCTCAGAATGCTCTTCCTTTGGTGTTTCTGTCACCTGGGGCTGTGTCCTGTGTCTTAGTGTCTTCAGCTCACCATTTCTCTTGCTTGATCGCATCTACTCCCATGGTCTCCACTAGCACATGGATTTGAGGCTCCCAAATGGGTCACCGTATCCCAAACCTCTCTCCTAAGCTCCAGATCCATATTTTAAGTCATATTTTAGATAAAATCTCTACCTCTACCTCGTATTCAACCAACCCAAACCAAAACTCATCATTTATCTACCAAACTCACTCTACCACCTGCATTTTCTAATTTAGTAAATAGCACCTTCATTCACTCAAGTAATCAAGCTACAAATGTGACTATATCCATCAGCCTGTGGATCAATTGGTTAATAAGTCCTGTTAATTCTACCTTCCTAACATCTTTCAGATGTCCTTCATTTATCCCTCTTCAGTGCTGCTAGCTGGCTTGTAGCCTACATCAGTTTAGGTGGTTGTTCTTGTTGCAAACAGCAGAAATGAACTCTGGCTAATTTCAGAAGAAAAAGGGTGTGGGCAGGGGATATTTGAAAAGCTTTTGGGAAAGCTCACAGAATTGAAGGGAAAACTGAATAACTGTGCTTCAGGGAGGACTGGACCTGGGGACTTCAGAGGGTGGAGCTTAGCCCTTCTGCCTGGGACGCTGCATCAGACAACTCAGCTATAATCATTTTTCATCTCTCTGTGTCTTTATCAGATTCTCAAATTCCTAGTAGAAAGAATCTGGTTGGCCACCTGTGAATAGTTCTGGGCTAGGAGACAGGGGTGAGTAGCATAAATTTGTGACTCTTCTAATTTCTCATTCCTTCCTCAGCCCCACAACCTTCTCTCTCTCTCTCTCTCTCTCTCTCTCTCTCTCTTTGTGATCAAATTTATTTTTTGTTTCCATTTCACTTGCTTTGTTTTACTATAATTTACACAAGAGACTGCCAAGTAAACTAGATAGTTTACATTCACCACGCATTCCCTTAAATCTCCACAGTTGTTAGGAAAACATTAGAACCCGTGCACTGGGCATGGATTTCCATGGGCACCCACACTGTCAATGACGCTACAGATGCCAGTGAGAGTTAATTCCATTGAAGGAGAGGGCGAGACTCTATTTCACAAAATTAGAAATAGTCTTCCTTGCACCAAACATTTTGCAGACAATGATTATGCTTTGACAACACCTATCTTACAACAGCGCCCAGAGAGTAAACATCAGTCTTGATCCTGAGTACACGGAGGACATATGCGGTGTGGGGTTCAGAGCCAAGGCTAATAGGGCATCATGGTGCGGCAGCAATCCTACACACCCTCGTCTGACTCAACTGCCACCACCTTGGTGGGGCCACGGGGTGTGTGGGAAAACGGGGAGCAGGGCGGGCAGGGCTGTCAGCAAATCAGATTACAAATGTGATAGGACTACAGGGGCCGGCGTGTTGCAGGAGGGACGAGGGGTTCAACAAGACAGTTTGTGACGGGAAGGCTTCAGCAAGATCACTCAGGCCAAGCTTCCAGGACTGACAGGAGAAAAACTGGATTCGGACAGAGAAAGCTGATAAAAATCTTACTCAGCTGTGGTTCCTTTCTTAAAGAAGGAAGAAGAGAGACAGGTGGCAGCGGCTGCTAACCAGCATGTTCATGACACTTACTCATGACAGGTTCCAATGCCCACAGCCTTCTCAAAGGCTTTCCGATCTATAGTTCACACTGCCAGCGTCTTCATGTTTCTAAAATATATATTCTTCAACATATCTCCTGACTTAAAATCCCTTGGTAGCTCTTTATTACTCATAGAATAACCTACAAGCTTCTATCAGGGACCACACTCCAGGATTTGGACCCTGGCTTCCTCTCCAGTTTCACCTCCTGCTACCTTTCTGTTCAATCTTATGCTCTAGGCAGAAGCTATTTGCAGTTCCCCTACATAAGCCATGCTTTGTTCTATTCTCATGTTTTTGCTTGTGTTGCTGCCTGTTGCTCAAATGTCCATTTTCTCTTCTCTTCACCTGTTTAACTTGCACTCACCTTTCTGGGCTCACTTTAGGTGTTAGTTCCAAATATCCCAGGGTTTAGTGCTCTTCCTCTTTGATCCAACAGTATCCCGAACAGATCTCTGATATAGGCATTGCAATCTGTTACATTGAACTTTTTTTTTTTTTTTTTGTCTCTCTTCTTGGCTAAATAAACTGTGAGCTCCTCGAGGTCAGGGATTATGACCCATATTTGGCTCCCTTTGCCTAGTACGGTACGTAACACGTCATTATTGTAAATATGTTGAAATAAACCAATATTGATTTTTGAATGCCTAATATACAAAGCACTGTGGGGTAACAAATATATATTTATATAATTCACATGTCACTTTTAAGGAGCTTATTGCCTAGGAGCCAAACAGTACCTTACATAGAAGAAAAGTACAGGTAGACATACAAGATACTATAGAGCTGCAAGCACAAACAAAACAAAACAACGAAACAAACACAATGCCTGCAGGCTAGCATTTGGGATTGGATTGATCTGGAAAGTTCTTTTTTTAAAATTTTTATTTATGATAGTCACACACAGAGAGAGGCAGAGACACAGGCAGAGGGAGAAGCAGGCTCCATGCACCGGGAGCCCGACGTGGGATTCGATCCTGGGTCTCCAGGATTGCGCCCTGGGCCAAAGGTAGGCGCCAAACCGCTGCGCCACCCAGGGATCCTGTTCTGGAAAGTTCTCTGGGGAGGACAGACCTCAGTAGCAACAAAAAGAAAGAAGATTCAAATGGTTTGAAGGGTGGGGAGAGCATTTTAAGTATGGGGAATAAGAGACAGAGTTCACTGTATTTGAGGAATAGGGTGAAAACATTGGCTAAAGTAGAGGTTGATTCAAATATGCTGACAAGGTCAGGGTGTGTATAGGGAAGTCATAGGTTAGAAAAACGAACTGGAGTACATTGGAGCAGATCTTAAGTATGTCTTTGTGCTGACATCAACATAGAACTTCTCAGCATTCTAGATTGCCTGTTCATCACAATTCCTGTCTCCTCCAGAATCAGGGAAAGGATAAGACACATCAAAATGGAAAGTTTTAGTGCCAAGGAATCACCCCTTCCTCAGTGGAATAGGGTTTCCTGATGTCCTTCAAGGTATTGTACACCAGACCTTTCCCTTTTTTTGTTTTGGATGTAGTTCTTGTGTTTGTGTGATTTTGTTTTTTCCACCCTGGGTTGCAGAAAAGCAGCCCTAGATTTGTACCTCTCAGTTTGATGGCTTCTATTTATTGTAGATTCAATATACATGAATTGGACTCACGATTCCAGTAAACTAAAGGTGAGAAAAGGGTGAAAAGCTCATTAGTCTATTCCCCTTGAGGGGACATTCAGAGTTTAGCTCAGACTAGTCATAAACTCTAGACGATTGTCTTTAGGGTTTATGTCTAGACAATCAAACTAGATATAAACCTTAAACAATCACTTATTGGCAATATCAACACTAACACAATTTTTTCTCCAAACCCGTGGGCTTTATAGGAGCTTGGGCTGATAGGCCCATCAAAGTTCTTCTTAATTGCCAAGACCCCTATAATTCGATCCCATCCTACATGTTTGTTTTACTACCTAAAACAACAGCAACATATACCTTCTAAGTAGGCAACTTGACACTATCTTACAAGGTCCTGGCTCAAGCCCCGCATTTTTTTTTTCAAGACACTGAATACGTTTTTATTGAGCCTTTTAGTTTACAACAGGAGGTAAAAGGAAAGTCATTTCACCTTAACTAATATTTTACACAGCTGTAGTAAAATATCTCAAACTTTAAGGAATTATGATGGATTACATATATTAAAAGTTGGGGATTGGGTAAACAATATCTGAGTTCTTGAATTTTCCAGTTGACTCTCCCCTTACAATAGTAACCAGCTCTAGTTACATAAGTTTCTTCAAGGCCATGTTTTATTGTTGCTAATGTCTTTATATCTGAAGCATTGCTATTTCAATCAATATCCACTAATTCCACTTCAAAAATGAGTTTTGCATTTGGTGGAATTTTGGCATCAGGCTGTCCTTTCTTTCCATAAGCCCATTCTGGTTCAGTCTCTAGTTGAGCCTTTTCTCCTTTACTCATAGTTAAGAGTGCTTCATCCCATCCTCTGATAACTTTGCCTATTCCAACCTTAAAACTTAAAGGCTTGGCCTTTTTCTTCTTCTTTGAACTGGTTTGAATATTAGTATCAAAAACAGTCCCATCCTGTAGTGTTCCTGTATACCAGCAGTGAACAACATCTCCCTTTTTGGGAAAGTTGGTTTTATCTCCTTTTTTAAGGACAGATTTTGTATATTTTGGTGGACCCTCATCCAGAGTCTCTTCACACTTGGTTTCTTTGGGTTTATCTTCATTAAGCTTCACATTTTTCACCTGCTCAGACACTTTACTTATATTTTCAGTACCTTTGAAACACTTTCAAAAAGATGGTTGTAGGCTGTAACCAAATGGTCCTTGTTAGCTGTCTTGGCCACATTTTTAATGTTTCCTAATAACTTATGTTCTGCAAGGATCGAATCTGAACCATGGTCCTGTAGAAACTTGATAATGTCCTTCTTGGGTAGTTGCTCGCTGTGCAGCTGCTCCATGGTCCAGGCCCACTGTGGAACGGCTGCCGCCATCCTCCCCCGCTGCCTCCTCAAGCCCCACATTCTTTAGGAAACATCCCTCCAAGCCTCACTGACCTCTCTAAATAGTAGCCTGTACATCATCAACTTTTAGCTTCCCTTTTAAATTGTCTATATCAAAGAAGGTAGCAGCTCCCTGCCACTCTCTCCCCCACACCAACACATACACACTTTCCCCAGCTTCACAGGGGAAGCTGTTGCTCTCCAACTTTCTCCCACAATCAGCCCATGAATCAATTTTATTTCAGATCTTTATGTATTCTAAAGAAATTAGAATATCACCTTTAAATCATTTGGTTAACTCTCTCCATTTTATATATGAGGAAATCTTCCCCAGGAGATGAAATGACTTACTTATTACCATTTATTTACCAATAATTACCATTTATTTGTCATTCTTGTTTCACATTTAAAAATTATTTGTTTATTTATTCACGAGAGACACACAGAGAGAGGCAGAGGGAGAAGCAGTCTCCATGCAGGGAACCCAATGAGGGACTCCATCCCAGGACTCCAGGATCACTCCCTGAGCTGAAGGCAGAGGCTCAACCACTGAGCCACCCAGGCGTCCTTCTTGTTTCACATTTAATGGTCACTTTCTCTCCCCACCTCCACCACCACCATCCACCCCAGCATTTGGTACCAAAGTTCTTGAAGACAAAGGTCATCATGTCTTGTGCATTTTCTGCATTCAGAACAGCACCTACCAGTCTTCTTTTGTTTCCCATGCAGGATCAAGAATGTGGTTGGGCACATGGTGTGTGCTAAGGAAGGAATGGATTGAATTGAGCCCCTGCAGAACGTGGACTATTTGGAGGCGTTGAATTTGGCCTCTGGGTGAATACTTGCCTCAGATCAGCCCACTTAGCAGTGAACAGCAATGGGCCGAAAGAGACACGCCAAGTATGTAGTTTTGTTTGCCCAACTAAGTTATAAATACCATTTTATACAAATGTATGTTGTAGCCCATATCACTTTGAACAGGTCTAGTCCCAGAGTAGACTAGACCTCATTAAAAATGTTCTAATTGACTGCCTGTCTTCAGGTTAAAGCCCAGATCTGGATCTGTGTTTTATGCAGCAAATAGAGTAGCGTTATCAAAAGGAAAGTACCAGACTGTCCTTGTTGACACTACTGGGCTGAAGGAACATTTTTCCCACAGCAATCTGCCTTAAATTGGCCTTAAAGAAGAGTATATGGGATCCCATGCTGCCTTTGAAATAATAAAGAAGTGTTTTGAAAAGTGTTATAATAAAGACTATAGTATACTATTATGAAATAGCTTAAAGTAAGAGGACAGTCAAAAGGGTACCAACTTTAAGATGTTAAGTGGGGATGAACTTATTTTAGTCTATCCACAATATGTCACCTGTTCCCCTTGAGACTATTTTTAAGATCTCTGGCCTGAGTTAATGATGAAGTTGGTAGCCAGCAATAGATGGAAGTGAGCCATGCTTGGAGAGACTTGATACTAGATTTGGGATGATTTGTACCATTCTATAGCAGTTGACCTGCCAGCTACATAGCTTGGCTATTTCTACTTTTCTTAGTTTGGTCCTTGCACTGCCACCCTCATTTTTAGAGGAGAGAGATCTACTTCAGGTAGTCCTAGGCTCCTACTTAATGTAAGCTAGTTTAATACCCAAATAGGAACTATCTCCAAAGAAGAAGTAGGCCACTTATTTTAATTATTAGCCCAATCTTACTGATGGGCATCTTTCACTATGTTCAGGCACTAAATGGGTGTAGTAAAATTAGTCAAGGAATTGAAAATACCTTCTTACTAAATATCACAACATCTGACTCTCTCTTTTCTCCAAAAGGAACTGGTATCTGGGTAGGGGATTAGAAAGTAAGAGAAACAGGAACACCTGCTCAGTGGTTGAGCATCTACCTTTGGCTCAGGTCATGATCCCAGGGTCCTGGGATCAAGTCCTGCATTGGGTTCCTTGAGGAGAGCCTGCTTGTCCCTTTGCCTATGTCTCTGCCTCTCTCTGTGAGTCTCTCATGGATAAATAAATAAAATATATTTTTTTAAAAAGTAAGAGAAACAACAAAGATAAGATTATTTGCCATTGACAATTTTTACCACCTTAGTTCTAGATAGAGAAACCTAGATATGATTGGGTACAAGAGGGAGCAGTAATCCAAGCATGGTAATTAAGAATTGGAAATTTGTGCTTATGTCAGTAGCACGTACACTAAAATTGGAATGATGCAGAGAAGATTAGCATGGCCCCTGTACAAGGATGACATGCAAATTTGTGAAGTGTTCTATATTAAAAAAAAAAAGAATTGGAAATTTAGTGTGAATTCCCACTAATAATATCCCTTCTTGTGGAATCAGTTGTTGGCAAAGGTAGAGTTATTTTCCTGTGGAGAAGAATAGGCAGGTAGGCATTCAAAATAGTAGGTGGGTGGTCTTTAGAGGTATTATGAATGTCCAGTTGTCTAAAGGAATGTCCTTAAGCAGTCTATTAAGACACTTCCTTAAGTTGTCTAAAACTGCTATTTCAGAAGAATTCAACTTGCCAGATGTCATCATGTCTCCAAGAGGTCCCACTTGCTTAACTCTTCAAACTGAAGGTTTGTTTTCCCCCAGCAAGCAGGCTGGATAATGAATCCTATTCTTTATTATACATACATATTCAATTAGTGATCAGTCAAATTGGGCTCTTCTAAGTCAGGCTCCCAAACTGTGTTGAGGGAGATTGAGAACATGACCAGAACTCGGAGTAAGAAAATACAGTTAGATATTCTGCTTTTTTTTTTCAGGTTTCAAAACAGCAAATCAAATATTCCAGGAACCAGCTCAGTTAAATTTGAGAAAGCAATAGAGGTTGATAATGATGAGGTAAGAAAGAGCATTAGCAAATATTTATGTGCAATCTTTCTTTGGAGTTAGAGTACTTTATAAGTTGGGTTCACAAACTTCCTGCTGAAAAGCAAAAAGGAGTCAAGATTTATATAGAGAGCAAGGTTAGTTTATCCCAATTTTGTAAAAGAGAAACAGAGACTTAGAAAAGAGACAGGGACATATCAGCCGCAAGTCAGGGCTAGAGGCCAGAGACTGTAAACCTATCTTAGAAACCTGACTTCGCTAGACCTTATAGCAACCTCTTGCAGCAAAACTCCATTGGGTAGCTCGGTTGCTTCCCCAGGTTATTTTCATATGCAAGTGAATTTTCCAGGCCAACTTTTATTTTACCAGCCTGGATAGTATAATTCAACTAAAAACACATTCCACTTTATTTTATTTTATTTTTTTCACATTCCACTTTAGATACTGTTGTCAGTTTTGACACTTTAGTCAATAGCTGTAGACTAATTTGGAACCGAGATGCAATACCTCAGAAAAATTCAAGATTAGAAACATTTTCCTCAGAAAATTTCTCCTTCAAAATTAACAAACAAACAAACAAACAAAAAATCCTACTGGGGCACCTGGGTGGCTCTGTTGGTTAAGTGTCTGACTCTTGATTTTGTCTCAGGGTCATGAGATCAAGCCCTGTGTGGGGCTCCCTACTGAGTGTGGAGTCTGCTTAAGATTCTCTTTGTGTCCCTCTCCCTCTGCTCCTCCCCACCATCCCCCTTTCAAAAAAAAAAAAAAAGCCCTACAAAAGAAGTCTTCACATCTTTTTCTCAATTTTTTTCAGAGACTTCTATGCTTCTAAATGTATATTATAGCTGTGAAGCAGATTATTCATTTTTCCCTCCCCCCAAAGCAGATTATTCATAATATATCTTTGTTTTGAACAAAAGGACCTCAATTTTCCAAAAGGGTAATAAAATTAAATCATTGCATCTTTGGATCTCTTCTCATTGTTCCTAATGGAACATATGGTGTGATTCTGGTAGTCCTCCTCCTGGTCAGCTCCCCCAAACCCCTGGGCATTGCCAGCTCCTGGCATTTCCCTCCAGACCATGACAGCTCCCCTCATTGCACCTTTCTGTCCCACCCTTACTTCTTCCCTCTTTTCCATTCATGTTCCTGCTTTCCTTACCTTTTATCTTCATGTTCCCTCTCCCCTGCACCCCATTTTACCATATCACCTTCCCCAGGGGCATGGCAATCATTGGAAATGCTGATCTAAATACAGGATTGGGCCCACTTCTGATTTCTAATTATGCTCAGCCCAAAGGCCGGAACTCAGAGCTCTTATCTCCTGGTGTCCTCACCCTTTTGACTCATCTTTGGATGACCTAGGGCTGAGCTAGAGGCCAGGCAACACGAGGCTGAGCAGAGGAGCTGCAGGAGGCCCAGCAACTGCACAACCAGACATGACACTCCAACGGTCGGCCAGTCACCAGCACATCCACCAGCAGAGTGGCGGACAGAAGTATTACCAATGTTCAGTTATTTTTTGGTAACTCTTCTGGAAGAATCACGTACTGTAGAAATATTCCAAAAAAAACACAAATGCACCATTGTTTCTCCCTTCCTCCATGTCTGCTTCCATCTCAGCAGGCAACGGTCCCTGGGGCTTCCTTCCACTACAACCTGTAGGTTATTGCCCTTTTATAACTTGCTTTTCTCCTGAGAGGGTGTCTTCCATGTTGATTTTCACCTGATTTCCCATAAAAATGAAAAAGGCAGAAGGAAGAGGTGTGATGCCCTGGAGTGATTTGTCCCCACCTGAACTTTGATGCTGCCCTTATCCACTCCCCTCTCACAGCTTTACCTGACTTCATAAAGCAGGTCCACATTTCCATGTACAAGCTTCCCCATCAGGACCCCTCAGAACCTAGTTTTCTTTGCTGTGGCCCGCATTCCAGAATCCCAGGATACAAACCTTGAAGCACAGCATTTTCCTCACTTCATTTAAATCAGAGGCCAGTTTTTAGTCCCACTCAGGGCACGTGAGGAATGGAATATTGTTGAGGCTGAAACCACTTGAAACCACTAATTTCAATGATTGTCTCTAGATTTGTGATGCAGTCTGGCAATCAAAATTTGTTCTGAAGAACCTCCAGCATTACGCAATCCATCCAAATTTGGTAGGTGGAGAAAATATCCATCCCGCCCACCCCGGGGTTCCCTAAGAGTAAGGTCCAGCAGCAGTGCCCCTGCTACCCTGCTTCCCAGTGCTGCCAGCATCTGTGACCACGCAGGCTCCTAGGACAGAGATGCAGAGCTGTCCTAGGACACTGTGCCAGCGGCAGTGCTGAATATGGTTGACGGTGAGGGACAAGGGACGAACTGGGAAGAAGGTGGTCCCTGCAACTGATTTCCTTTTTCTTTTTTTGGAGGGGGTGGGGAGAGCACGAGCTTGCATATGCAAGGGTGGGGTGGGGATGGAAGGGCAGGTCCAACCTCTGTCCCTTCCCTACAGAGGCAGAAGACAAGCCAATTGATTGATTTCTTCATCTTCTCTGGATCTAATCCCTTTGTTTCTCTGGAAACCTCTGTGTTGCTCAGGCCTGGTACTACGAGCCTTTGAAGTCCACTGCTTTGCAGAGGTTCCTGGCTCAAAACAGGAAAATCAGAAGCTTCATGTTAAAAGTAGCAGAGTATGATCAGGATAAGACCTTACTGATTCTGACCAACAACCCACTTCCCTGCCCAACTGACCAGCAAGGAAAGGACATGGCACCAAAATACTTTTCCAAGGAGTTGCCGCTCAAGGTAATGGCACCGGGGAAGCATCCTGGCACCCTGAGGAAGGTCCCTGAGGAATTAGGAGCTAGCTTGAAGAAGGGAGTTAACATGATGGAAGATGGTGCTCAGGAGAAAGCTTCTTCCTTCTTACTCCTTGCCATGTACTACACACACATACACACACACACACACACACACACACACACAGAATCTGGAGAGCCTGGGAAAGACTCAGAACCAGAACTGTACAAGCTTGTGTCATGAAACTTTATTGCATGGTCCTAATTAGAAATTGTGCCTCCTGGCCAAAGACATTTAGTTTGTAATTAACCAAAGGTAATCTAGCCACTGGCTTCCTAGTTGAGTATAAAGTAGCAAAGGATAAGCCAGGAAATGAGGAATGAGAAACAGAAATAACTAAATGGGAAACTAGTAAAGGGTTTACCCTTTACACTCATTGCTTCTGGGTGTCAGGATCATTGCTTCTGGGTGTCAGGAGATGGGGGGAGGAACAGAGCGGAGCATTTACTATTATGGCAGCCAGATGTTTGGGACTCGGTTCTACATGATAGAAGTTCATGTTCAATGTGATAAACAATTGCTGAACACATGAAACAAAGAATGAAAATATAAAGATGCTTTCAGGACAGTTTCTATCTGGAAGGAACTTGGAGTCTAGTAGGAGACACTGATCAATACATGAGAAACATAAAAATTATTATAGGAGGATATATGGACAATAAAAGAATATGCAAAACAACAGAACAGAGTAGAACTTAGTATCTTTGTTGGGGGAAGGGAGTAATCAGGGAGGTTTTACAGAGGAGGTGACCCCTCACAAAAGAAGAGGAAAATATCCCCTATCTCCAGGAAGATTGGAGAAAGTGAGGTGCATTCATGGAGATATGAAAGAATAAAAGGGGGGAGACATAAAAGGTATAATCAAACTGGCATTTTAGAAAGACTGTTTTTGGAGGCTGGGAGAAAAGATGTGTTCACTGTGGAAGAGATGCAAATCAGAAAGATAAGTCGTGATGTTACTACAACAATCAAAGTGAGAGGTGCTGCAGAATTGTACTACATCAATAGCAGAGGAAGTGAGGAAAATCAGCTTAAAAGATGTTTAGGAATCAGGATTTAAGAAAGATCTTGACAGCCTTGAGAGCAGGCCTACTACAACAAGAAGAAATTGAATGAAGTAAGTGAAAGTGCAAACAAAAGAATCTAATTATCACAGAAATTACCCAAGACAGACCCTTTCTAGTACAATGTGGTGAATTCTGGCTTGTGTTTCCTTAGTTCCTAGATGAATGGCAGTAAAAGATTCCTCTCCAAACGGAGGGTAAAATGCTAACATGCTATGATACATGCTAAACGTGCTTTCGTTAACAAATTCATTGCCTATGGTTTCTTGGCTCTCAGGATTTGTGCCCTTTGAGCATAAATTCGGTGGTCAATTCTCATGGTTATGGGTAATATACACTTGACAGAGGAATGACTGCCGGGCCAGGGTTGTTCTACTCAAGGTAGAGAAGGAAATACAAGACTATGGTGTAGCTTGATGTAAGAAGAGCTTTCTCCCAACAGCCTTCCAAATCACATGCAGGACCTGATCATATTCATGAGCCTTCCAAATCACATGCAGGACCTGATCTGAGCCTTCCAAATCACATGCAGGACCTGATCATATTCATGAGCAAATTGTGCTACCAGCCAAATTGTATTAATAGACAGTGTTAAGGCACTGATTGTCAAAGAGTGACACCATGAGAATTCTACAGGAGATCTGGAACAAGTCCAAGAAGAGGGACAGGCCCAATATCTAGAACACTTCTTTCATATTCATGCTGCAACCCCCCTTTCTGTGCTACACAAATGTAACAGTCTTTAGTGAGCCTAAGATAGTATACAAAAGAAGCATTCTTTTGCTATGCCCAGGCATGTGTATAAGAAGGGGTAGGTTCCAGCAGGCAAATTGAAGAACAGAGCAAACATGTCTGTCACAGTGGTCGCTATCCTCACAGCCCCTTCTAAGTGAAATGGCCCTACCACCATTCAAGAAGAAAAGGATGCCCTTGTACAACTAGCTGGGACCTGGGAGGAGGCAGACCCAGTGAAGCAAAATTCATAGGCTGATCAGTACCCCCGTGGTGTAGATTGGTATCCCCAAATGAAAACAAACAAGAAACCCCTCAAAAGCTGAAAACCAAACCAACACCAAAGCCAACCAACATATCAGCGACCCAAAATCCTCAGACAGATCACAATCCTGCTTCCAGGCATCTGAGCTGGGAAAGGGGAAGATTAAGGCAATGGGAATGGAAGCTGAAAGGACAGATAGAGAGAGGCCATTAAAAAAAAAAAAAAAAATCAAACCAGGAGGAAGAGCATAGTGTAGGGACCATGAAAAGGAGGGGCAGCTGAAGTTCTAGGGAAATAGAAACAAATAAGCAGAAGTTACAGGTAGAAGAAAATACAGAGTAAAGGTAGGGAGTGAACATGGCAGAGAAAGAAGGAAACAAACAGGAAGAAAGTAGGAGACATGCTAATGATAGGGTGCCAGAGCTGAGGACCCAACTCACTGTGGTAATCCTTAGCTGGTGCTGTCCTGGATTCCAAAAACTTTTCCCCCCTTTTGAAAGAATATTTTATTTATTTGACAGAGAAAGAGTTAGCACAAGCAGGGGGAACAACAGGCAGAGGGAAAGGGAGAAGTAGGCTCCCCACCAAGCAGGGAGCCAATGCAGGACTTTGATCCCAGGACCCTGAGATCATGACCTGAGCTGAAGGCAAATGCTTAACCAACTGGGCTACCCAGGCACCTCCCACCCCCCCACCCCCCGCAAATACTATTCCACTCCTGTTTTTCTGCCACGAGGTCTAGCTCTGGTAACATTTCTGCTTTTCTTATAGTCAGAGTGTTAGCTGTATCTTAATTCCTAGACACATGCACTCTTACAGCAAAGCCTCTATTTATTGAGGTAATTTAAACACAGAAGTTCCTTAAAACCAGACGAGCTGGGCAGCCCTGGTGGCGCAGCAGTTTAACGCTGCCTGCAGCCTGGGGTGTGATCCTAGAGACTCTGGATCCAGTCCCACGTCAGGCTTCCTACATGGGGCCTGCTTCTCCCTCTACCTGTGTCTCTGCCCTCCCACCCCCTGTGTCTCTATGAATAAATAAACAAAATATAAAAAAAAAAGTGTAGGAAGAACCAATTCTTTTAAAAAAATAAATAAAATCTTAAAAAACAAACAAACAAACCTGAAGAGCTTAGAGAATGAATACAGAATTTAAAAGACACAGTTCAACAGGAAGTTTGGGGGGTTTTTCTTAGGAGGGTTTAAAATTTTGTGAGAGGAAGTTCAGAATGTGTCATTTCATCAGGCTGGCCATTCATTTATACTTCCATTGATTCAACAAGTATTTATTGAGCACCTACTTTGTGCCAGGTACTGTTTATGGGTGATAGGGATATATCAGTGACTACACCACAGTCGGCCTAAATAAAGTTGAATTCTAATGAGGTAGACAGACCATCAGCAAGCAAACAATCACACAGATACTATATAATGTGATAAGTGCCATGACACAGCAGGATGAGGGAATGGAGCATGATGGGTGTGATGGGCAATTTTAGAAGTGTAGTTAGACGAGGCTCTCAGAAGAGGTGATGACATTTGAACAGAGACTTTAACCAGGTGATGGGATGTGTCCTGCTGTTGCTAGCATATTGCTTTCATTTCAGGTTGCCACACATTAGGAAAAATATAAACAGTAGTTTTCTCAAATGAGTTAATAGGAAAAAGCAGGGGAATAGGGAGCCCAGAGCCAGATCCCATGAGGAAAAGCTCACAACATTTGCAATATTGAGCCTAAGACAGGAGAACGAGCTTAGGAGGAATGTGGTGGATCTCTTTAAATTCCTTAAGTACCCCAAGCAAGAGACACTAGATGTGTTCTCTTTGGGCTACAAGGTAGAAGTTACAGGGAGATGGCCAACAGCTGAGCAAAGAGGAAATAGGTTGAGTTTTTAGGAACAGGAAGATTGACCACTTGATAGTAATACTGGGAGGGGATAGAAAGGTCAGATGGTTAGACTGGGTGACCTTTGAGATCTTTTCTTAAAGCCTTTGATTCTATGACCTTTAGTAATGGTGAAATTATTGCCTCACAAAACATCCCATTCCCTGACCTTTTCACTGCAGACAGAGAATGGAAGGTGAATGAGGCAGTCATCTTTGGGAAAGGAAGGTGGAGTCCCATGGATTTCTTTCCCAGTTTATTACCAGATGCTTGGTTTCCTAAGTGATTCACTAATTGAATCCTTCTCAAAACTGGGTAACATCCTTTGCCATTCACTTCAAAGGGCCACTGGGCAAGTCCAGTTAATTACTTAAGACACTGACCAGGTTTTGGACATGTCCTCCAGCAACAACACAAATGGATACGGTATGCACTTCTTATCAGCAGTTTAGCTTTCTGTGGTTTCGGTTACCCACAGTCAACCCTGGTCCAGAAGCAGATGATCCTCCTTCAGCAGTAGTCTAATGATAAGTCACAATGCCTATGTCACTCATCTCGCTGCATCTCATCATGTGGCATTTTATCATCTCACATCATCACAAGAAGAAGGAAGGGTCAGTGCAGTACATTATTTTGAGAGAGAGAGAGACAGAGACCACATTCACATAACTTTTATTTCAATGTAATTATTCTATTTTATTGCTTATTATTAATCTCTCACTGTGCTTCATTTATAAATTAAACTTTATCGTAGGTATGGATGTATAGGAAAAAATAGAGTATATATCTAGGGCTTGGTCCTATTCGTGGCTCCAGGCATCCCCTGGGGGTGTTGGAATGTATGTTCCATGGATAAGGGGGTCTACTGTCCTAGCCCACTCAGGGAACCATTTCCTTTTCTTTTGGTTTCAGTCCCCACCTCCCTCTCTGGCAGGTTTTGTTGCATCACTTTAGGGGAATTGAAGATTAGTCCAGGAAATTAGTTCCGTTGGCTCCCTCACTTACTCTTCTTTCCTCTGCTGCAGGAAAGTTATCAGCATAAACCTCCTGGGACTGTCTGCCTACCCCTGATGTCTCAGAAAAAAAAGTTAAGATCTGGGCTGAAACCAACCTTTCCTGTGACCCTGTTGGAGGATCCTACATCCCAGCGAGAACAGTGGTTTAGGTGAAGTCCTGGCTCTTGTACTCATTTTCTTTCCTATCTTCTCCTTATTCATGTTACAATCTCTTTTCATCACACTTTAACAAAAGCTTTTCAATTGTAGGAAATATCTATAACGGCATAATAATAAGACAGCTTCCCTACATGACCCTCAACCTCATTTATACCCTAATGAAAAGAGACAATAATGCAAAGCTAAGGTTTTTCACTGAGAATGATTTTCAAGAGTGAAAAGAAGCACTCAAAGATCCTATGAGAGGACACCGAACAAAATTTTCTCTCAGTGCATGTGAAGGGCTGTAGCTTAAGAACAATGAGCCGAGAGATTTAATTTGAAACTAGTTACAGGAGCAGCTCACATCTAATTCCGGGAGAGAAGAGATTTAAGAGTTCCTTCACCAATTTACAATGCTAGGTTCTTAGAAGTGTCCCTTCCACTCCAAACCAAAGAACACCCTGTAGTGACTGTCCTTTTTTTCTCCCCCAGGATCAGAGTGTAGTGACTGGTTCCATTAAGCCCCCTGCCCTGGGATCTACTAAATGAGCTTTCTTTCTTAAGGTTTTCCACCGACAATGATTTCAAGAGTGAAGGGAAGTATTTAAAGGTCTGTGATTTGAGGAAACAGAAAAAAATGTACCCCCAGCTCAACTTTGCTTCAGTCTGTAAAAGAGATATGAGGAAAGATGGTAAGCTTCTCTCCCACCTTTTTTTTTATTTTTTAATTTTATATATTTGAGAGAAAGAGAGCACAAGCAGAGGGAAGGGGCAGAGAGAGAGAGGGAGAAGCCGACCTCCCACCGAGCAGGGAGCCCTATATGGGACTTGATCCCAGGACTCTGGGATCATGACCTGAGCCAAAGGCAGATGCTTAACCTACTGAGCCACCCAGGTTCTTTCTTTCAAAGCAAAAGCTTACACACATCTGAGATGTGGGCAGGAGGGACAACCTTTTGGGGACAAGAGATAAGGACAAATCAACATCTTTCCTGGAGGTTCTGGAGACTGTTTTTCCTTGTAGCCTGGAAGCTAAGAATTGTTAAGAGGCCCGAGTAATACTAGGCTTTGGACCCTGTTAAACCCTTAAATTTCTTCTCTCTCTCTTTTTAAAACCCCTACATTTCAAGAAAGCTCTAGCACAGTGTTTCCCAAATGGCATCACCTACCGTCTTAATAGTTTTGGCCACATTGATGTATTATTTGCCCTCTGGCTTATATAATGTTTTGCTTTGAAAGGTTTTTTGTTGTTGTTCCTTTCCTAATACTGTATCATTTACATCATGGGTTTGATATACTAATAACATGGTTTTTTCGACATATATTTAATCATGTTAGCATAGTAAAAGCTGTCGGAAAGCTGTTCTAGAAGGAACAAAGGATAAGTCTGTGGGTTTCAGAGGTTAATGAGTTTCTCTGGGGTCGAGGCAGGACATAGTATGGAAGGGGTTTGCGATAAGGTTTTATGGACGGGAATGCATTCCCTTACGTGTTATCAATCATTTAACATTTATAGGGCAACCAGAAGTGCTGAAACTTATCAAGCACCAAGACTGTATTTCCCCTTCCCCCCAACCCCAGCCCGAGAATAAATACGTAGGAATATTTATTTCCTTCAAGGGATATTCCACCCCTTCGCCAAGGCAAGGTTGGAACTTTATAAGCAAGAGAAGATGAACGTAACAGTTACTAGGACATTTAGTAAAGTTGGAGTTAAATCTTCAATGGTACTATATGTAGGTTATCAGCAGTTTGGTTTAAATCATTTTTTTGGGGGGGGGAGAATTTCTCTAGAATCTGGAATCTAATCTAGATTAGAATTTCTCTGATTTTTCAAGGGCATGAACCTTTCAGGCTCTATCCTATTTACATTTCAAGATTTTTAAAAGATCTTATTTATTTTTTCATGAGAGAGACAGAGAGAGGCAGAGACAGAGGCAGAGAGAGAAGCAGGCTCCTTGAGGGGAGCCGGATGCGGGACTTGATCCCCAGACTCGGGATCACCACCTGAGCCGGAAGCAGACGCTCAACCACTGAGCCACCCAGGTGTCCCCACATTTCTAAACAGAACACTTAATATCTGTCTGTAGCAATTAGTAGATTTCTGGGGATTTTACAGTTTCCTTCAAGCAAAGTTGAGTACTTACTTTACTCTGTAAAGGGCCCCTTTTGATGCTTTCCCTAAAGAAAGCCCATGGGGCTGTGAAGTTGAAACAATGCCTCCACTTCAAGCAAAAGGGACTGCCAGCAAACCCTCGTTCTGCCAATAGCCAGTCACGTTCCATGTTTGCCAGGCAACCAAAGAGAGAAAGATTACCCAGAGAATGTTTTAGATGGGGGCCTTAACCCGATGGGGGCTGATTAGGGGGCCCTGGAAGAGATAGACGGTAGGGCTTGAATCAAGGTGATAGCGGTAGGAAGGAGCAAACAGATTCAAGAGATATTGGCAAGACATAATGCATCAAAAAAGTGTGGAGGGATGGAAGCAAGAAGAGCCCACGGTGGAAGCTTCCAAGTACAGGCAGAGGTTAAAAGAGAATCTGCATCAAGTGATGACACTGAAGCCAAAGGTAGAAACAGTTTCTTAGCTACACTCGCAGACGGGAGAACCTGAGAACCATACACACTTTAGGAGGAGGCTGCGAGGGGTATGAATGCACCTTATTGGCTGTTCTCTAAGTGTCAACGTGCTTGCAGGTGGGATCGTTGGAAAGGGGTGGGATGACACCGGGAAGCCTCCCTAAACTGGCAGGGTTTTGATGAACGGAAGGAATCCAGAAGTGTAAAGAAGCTTGGGCGCGGGGGTCCGTGGTCCAAAATTTGCCCTCTCGTTAGGAGCAGAGACCTGCCTTCGTCCCTGCGGGTGGGTCTCCCTCCTGCCTCCCACTGAGCGTCCTCCCAGACCCTCTGGAAACCCGCACTGACCAAGGGGCCCCGTGCTTGGTTGCAGGCGCCACGTCAGCGAGCGACACGCCGACCCCCGAGGCGGCCCGGGCCCCGCGGAGCCTTCCGTCGCTCCTGAACGAGGAAGCCGCAGCGCCGAGCCGGGGGAGCGCGCCTTCCGCGACGGAAGGGCCCCGGCCCTCAAGCGAAGACAAACCCTCCAGGCCGCCTGCCGCGGTCTCCCGAGGCGCGGGGGCGGCCCGAGTCGCCGTCCAGGGCGTGCGGACCAAATAAAACCGCATTCCGCTCGCTCCGGGCTTGCGCCGCAGGGTCGCTGGCGGGCGGGCGGGCGGGCGGGCCCCGCCGTGGGCCCCCGCCCCGGACCCCGCCCCGCGCTGCGGGGGCCGCGACGCAGCCCCGGGGGCCCAGCGCCGGCCCCGCCTCCGCCCGGCTGCGGGAGGGGCGGGGGCGGGGGCGGGGCGGGGGCGGGGGCGTGGCCGCGGCCCCGGGGGACGGGAGCGGCCGCCGCAGCCGGGAGGGCGGGCCTTCTCCCCGAGTGACGGGACGGCGACCCAACCGGCGCCGGGGCACGGGGCCGGCCTTCCTGCAGCCTCTTCCGCTCGCCGGCTGCGGCGCCTGGGACGGTTGCGCTGGGTCTGGGCGCTGGGAAGTCGTCCAAGATGATTAAAAAATTCGACAAGAAGGACGAGGAGTCTGGTACGCGCTGGGCTGCTGACGCCCACCCTCGGCCGCGGGGCCCCTTCCCCGCCCGCCCGCCGCCACCTGCTCTCGGGGACCGCGGACCCGCAGGCGTGGGCGCCCGGTGCGCCAGGGGGCCGGAGCTGGAGCCCGCCCCTCCCTCTCTCCCTCCCTCCCTCCCTCCGCCGGCTCCGCTCGGCCCCGCTCGGCCCCGCTCGGCCCCCCGCTCGGCTCCGCTCGGCTGCAGCCCCGGGCCTGCCCCTAGCCCCTCCCCCGGGCGCCGGAGCCTCCCCTCGGGTCGCGCGCCCCCGCCCCCGCGCCCGCCCCCGGGCGCAGCCCCTCGGAGCCGCCTCCGCCTCCGCCGCCGCCGCCGCTGCCGCTGCCTCCGCCGCGCCGCGGGGGGTGGGCTCCCCGCCGAGGAGGCGGGCCCGCGGCGCGTGGCGGAGGGGCGGGTGCGCGCGAGCTGGGGGCGCCGGAGGTGGTCCGCGGGGAGCGTGTCTGGGCTCGCCGGGACCGTGCGTGTGTGTGTGTGTGTGTGTGTGTGCGCGCGCGTGCACGAACCTGGAGGCGCCTGGGCCCTTCCAGCCTCCCCGAGGACCCTCACTGTGCCCGCCTCCCAGGGGATTACGACTGGCCCACGGTACCTAGGATGCTCGAGTTGCGTTCTTGAGACCCGTCTTTGATCCAGAGCAAGTGGGGAAGACGCCAAGCCACCTAAAAACACCCCCCCCCCGCCCAACCCCCCAACTCCCGAACCACAAGCCCTCAGTGTCTGGTTCGGCTCTCCCATGGTGTGGACGCTTGGGTTTAGTGAATCTCCATGGCCCCTTCCAGCTTGATAGCACTCTTGGCTATAAACTCTTTTCTGCCTCGAAGTAATTGTTGGAAACACGGAAGATAGGGAAATCCAGAAGGGTCCTAACACAGTCTCATTAATCTTAGCTGTGTGAACATCACGTAGGCTCGCAACAGTCCTATAAAAAGAGGACAAGGAAAGAAGACACTCTTTTTGGGCAGGGATCGTGCAAAAGAGAAGTGCAAGATCCTCAGTAACTAGCAACGACAGCTAGTACCAGAATCCATATGATTTTATTCAGTTGATATGTGTATTCGTAACGCTGGTCACTGTGATATCCAAGTGGTCGCTTCATTTAGGTGAGATATCCCAAGCATTCAGTACCCTTCTAAGTTTGTCTTGGACAGCTATTGAAGACATTTTTTGTTTATAACATAGGTAGTGGCTCCAATCCTTTTCGGCATCTGGAGAAGAGTGCTGTCTTACAGGAGGTATGACTTGGAAGTATATTGTGTTCTTTCTTTCTATTCCATTTTGGAATGGTGGGCAGAGAGCCTCCGGAATATGATGACCCGAAATAAGAATTGAAGGATGTAATAAATGTGTTAGGAAAATACAGACCTGAGGGAAGAGGAAGAGGGGTTACTTACCATAGGAGGGAGCGTGTCTAGAGCTTATAGAAACGCAAAACTGTGTAGACACTCTGCCACATGTTGATAATTTTAAGTAAAATGCCAAAGAGATGTTTAGCGCAAGGTTACTGAAGGAAGTTAAAGATATTAAGCTAATTATATTCAGATGATATAGATAAGTATTACGATTCTTAACACACATAAAGCCCATAAAGTTGAAGTACTAGATGTAAGGGAAGGAGTTAGTATAGATGGAAAATAAAGACCAAAGTGTATCGTATACTGTGATAAATTGAAAACTGTAAGCAACTAACATTATGTGGATGTTGTGATCAAAATATGTAATAGTCTATTTGATTAAAGTTGATCTTTTGTAATGTGATAGAAATGACAGAAAACATGCTGTTTAAAAATGTTTTTCGTTCCCACAGGCTCGCATATTCAATGAAACACCCATCAATCCAAGAAGATGTTTGCATATTCTTACAAAGATTCTTTACTTACTGAACCAAGTAAGCTATTTTGATTTTCCTCAGATTTGTTTCCTGGAAAAGAAATACATAACATTCAGTGAAGTACTTTTTGGAAAGTATAGTTAATTTTTAAAAATTCAATTTAAAAGTATATAGTGTTTGATTAAGGTGATGATATGTAAAACTTCTTGAGGACAAGGATTATGACATATATTTCTATTTTATTCATGAGGTACTAGACCAGCTAAGCACATAATAGATTGTCAACATTGATTTGAATTTAACAAGTATTAATGTTAAAACATGTTTAGATTTGTTCAGAGGTCTTTATGTCCCTCCAAAAATACAGTACAAAATCTTGGACAAATCCCAGATATTTTACTTTTTTTTGAAGGGGGAGGAGTATAATAGTGATGTTTTTCAAGCTTTGATTTTAATGCTTAGATTTTATATTTATTATCCCTACTGTACCATGCCAAGTGATATGATTCTGAGCTTAACCATTTTGGGCCTTAATGTCCTTGAAAAGGACTATAGAAAATATATTGAGGATTATGATAATACCTGTTTTATAGAGTTGTAATGATTCCACAAGATAATGAACGTAAAGCACTGAGAATAATCCTGGATGTGCACATTCAGGAATAGTTTTCATTCAGTCATTCAGCAGATATTTATAATACACCTACTGATTCTTTTTTTAAAAGATTTTATTGGGATCCCTGGGTGGCGCAGCGGTTTGGCGCCTGCCTTTGGCCCAGGGCGCGATCCTGGAGACTCGGGTCGAATCCCATATCGGGCTCCCGGTGCATGGAGCCTGCTTCTCCCTCTGCCTGTGTCTCTGCGTCTCTGAGACGCAGAGACACAGAGAGAGAGAGAGAGAGGCAGAGAGAGACGCAAAGACACAGGCAGAGGGAGAAGCAGGCTCCATGCAGGGAGACAGACATGGGACTCAGTCCTAGGTCTCCAGGATCATACCCCCGGCTGAGGCAGTGCCAAACCGCTGGGCCATCGGAGCTGCCCACACCTACTGATTCTAATGCACTGTTTTAGGCACTGGGGATATAGCAGACAAAATCAACAAAACTATTTGCCCTGATGAAACATAGATTCTGCTTGTTATTACTGTTATTTTATTTTTCTTGTGTTTTTGATTGTTTTGTTTCAGACTAAAAAAATTTCATGGAATGTCTAGGACCTTAAAAAATATGATTTTGTTTTTTTAGATTCACACACACATGTACACACAAATACACATACATATATACTTCAGGTGGTTAATATATGGTGTTAAGAAGACTGGTTCCTACTTGAATTTCATGAGAATATCTTATTTTTACTTTATTTCATGACTGAAAACATGATGAAGATTTATAGTTTGCAAATGGAGACTGAGCAACAGGTTACTCTTTTTTTTTAAGATTTTATTTATTTATTCATGAGAGACACACACACAGAGAGAGAGAGAGAGAGAGAGAGAGAGGCAGAGACACAGGCAGAGGGAGAAGCAGCCTCCATGCAGGAAGCCTGACATGGGACTCGATCCTGGGTCTCCAGGATCACACCCTGGGCTGAAGGCATCGATAAACTGCTGAGCCCACCTGGGCTGCTCAACAAATTACTCTTACATAAAATATATTCTTGTACAAACATATCCTTCTGTGGTACCATATTAGAAACATTTAAGGCAAAGTCAGTTTGATTTAATTTTTCATAGCACACAATGTGTCCAAGTTGGCTAAATCCATTACACAAGCCTAGTTTTGAGTAGTTGAAGGTGTGCTGAATACAGCCTATACTTTTTTTTTTTTTTTAAATTTTTATTTATTTATTTACGATAGTCACACACACACACAGAGAGAGAGAGGCAGAGACACAGGCAGAGGGAGAAGCAGGCTCCATGCACCGGGAGCCCGACGTGGGATTCGATCCTGGGTCTCCAGGATCGCGCCCTGGGCCAAAGGCAGGCGCTAAACCACTGCGCCACCCAGGGATCCCTACAGCCTATACTTTTATATCGACTAGTACTTCTTTGATGAGCAACTCATGTTGAAACATTTCATTATCTTGATAAGGAAATTACAAGTATAATCTGATAAATAAACACAGCTACATAAACAGGTTTGGGAACCTTAGTTTTACCTTTGGCCTAATTCTTGGTATTGCTTTATGGAAAAATACTTTTACATTTCTGTCACAGCAACCTACTCGTATATTCTGAATTTCAAGTCTAAAAGTCAGAACTTAGGGTTTACTGCTGTGACTAAAAGGTGCATGGACTTCTGTCTATTCATTAAGTATTTATGAGAGAAGTCTCTTGCTGATGAGCATGTTGAGCACTCTGATTTAAGTAATTGTGAATTCTTATATTTTGTCTTTAATCTTCAGCATTTAAAGCTGTTCATCAAAAAAAATTTTTTTTAAAGATTATATTTATTTATTCATGATAGAAATAGAGAGAAAGAGAGAGGCAGAGATACAGGCAGAGGGAGAAGCAGGCTCCATGCCGGGAGCCTGATGTGGGACTCGATCCCGGGACTCCAGGATTGCCCCCTGGGCCAAAGGCAGGTGCTAAACCGCTTAGCCACCCAGGGATCCCCAAAATTTGTTTATTCTTATACCCATGACAGATAGACTGAAAACTAGTTATATTACATGTGAGATCTGAAGCCCTGAAAAGTGATTGAGCCTAATGCATTATGAAGATTGCTTTTAATGAAATTAAATATTGAAATGTTAAGGCCTCAGGTGGTCTGTAATCTGGAATTTTTTGACTGTGAGTGAAATAGGTTATCTAACATCTTGCTACTTAAAAAAATGGCATTCCGAGACCAGCAGCATTTGTATCACCGGGAGCGAGTTAGAAATGCAAAATTTTAGGCTTCACCCAGAGCTACTGAAGCAAGATTCTGTACTTTGGCAAGATCCTCAGGTGATTTATTTAAACATATTAAAGTTCT